ACTAACATGTAGGTCTGGTAGACTATATTGAGTAAATGGTGAAATGTTAAAAGAAATTAAGTTCCTTATTTTTTTAAAGTAATTAATTGTGGATAGATTTTCATTTGATTTGTTAGAATAGTTTTTTTTTTTTTTTTTTTTTTTTTTTTTTTTTTTTTTTTTTTTTTTTTTTTTTTTTCTTTCCAAATGGAATAGGGAGGAGTGATTTCATTAAATAATAATAGTCATTCGGCACTTACAATCATCCTTTAAAAGATCTAAATTCTCCGTACAAGTATTTACCACCTCTAAACTAATGACATCCCTTCTGAATTGCTCCTGGATAATTTTAAATGTCTTTGCATCGTTCTTGACGGAACTCTATTGATATATAGTCGCGAAAGTGATAATACTTGATTGATCATCGAAATCGGCAAATTTGCAAGACAAATCTTCTAAATCTGCACCCCTAAACCAACAGATCTGCAATTCCATAAATTTACAAGACAAATCTTCCAAATTTGTATCCCTGCACACACGAAAACAAATAAACAAATAATACTAAAAATCGCACCATTAGGGAACTGACTAAACTCTACATGGAGGGACTGACTATAATCACCATACTGTTAATGATCTTTATTGGCTAAATACATTACATTAAAGAAGAATTTGGGGCTGCAGCCCCTAACTTTTACTATGGTGGCTAGGTTTGAAGAGAAAGAACAGAGATTTTTTTAGGGTTTATTTTAGTTTAGGTATTGATTTGTTAGAATAGTTGAATTATTTGATTATGAGCATACGTTAAAAAATTTCTTAAACCTCCTATCATATCATATCACCACTAAATAAAGCCGGTTTCACAGTCAGGCCACGAGACAACGACACTTAACATTCTAGTTTTTTGCCAAGTGTCGAGCCACGCAGGCGACAAATAGATATAATTGTGATTAGATTAGATGCCACATTAGATTAGATTGGATAAATTTGTTTAGGATAAAAAAATATACATAAAAATAATTTATGATTCTTTTGAATTTTTTTTTTGTACTTATAGCCATACACAACATATTATAATTAATATGAATATCCAATCAACAATAGAATTTTACTCCTGTACGAATAACAACGTAATTATAATTATAAATAGGGCCAAGTATCATTAATTTTTTTTTACCTAAGATTTAAAAAAAAATATAAATACTACTACTAATAATAATAATAATAATAATTATTATTATTATCATTATTGTTATTGTTATTATTATTATTATTATTATTATTGTTATTATTATAACAAAACCTACAAAGTCAATTCATTTACAAGAAATTAGTGAGGAGCCGAGATATAATCTGGGCCCCCACCCCTTATTATTATTATTATTATTATTATTATTATTATTGTTATTATTATTATTATTATTATTATTATTATTTATATAAAACATGCCCACAATAAAAGTACATGGGGTAATGTCGGGATGCGTACTAGTTATTAATTTTATATGAAGTATGTGAGCAACTGTCTTTTGAGGTTTATATATACCATATGGAGTCATGGACTAAGTGTGTTTTATGTCTGTTGTAAAAACGTTTTTATGGACATTCTAGACAAGAATGTAGGAAATTTCAAAATAGTTGAACTCAAATACAAATTGCCGTGTATGAATTACTCAGTTTATTAATATTTAAAATATTTCTGATAGCTGGCTCAACTCAATCCAAATGATTTTTTAAGCGTAGTTTAAAGTATCAATCACAAGCTATTATTATGACTATTAATTTTGGAGCATAAGTAATCAAATTTAATTTTTAATGTCATGAGCACGATTGAACAATAGTGCAACCCAACTAAAATCGACCAACTACATTTTGAAGTAGCCTTTGTCTCGATCTTTAGTGTTGATGACACTTGTTAAAATTAATCTTAGTAATTAAGGTTATGCTTTTAATCGCTCTGAAAATGTATGAAATTTCAAAATCCAAATTAAATATGGAATAAATTTGGTCGGTTTGACAAACAAAATTAAAAATTATAATAACTGCATCAACACGTTGGTTGCTTAAATTGAAACATTTGATTATAGTAAGCTTTCTTGAACGTTGTTAGTTACATTTCTATGTAGTAAGACAAAGACAAATGTAAACATTTCAATGTCACTTCCCATATGAAAAGATCTTATACAGTCGAATGTTACACATTAACATATATACTTACTAGATATATATCTCATGAATTCACTTGCTTGACTAAGACACTCAAGACTATTCAAAAAAAAAAAAAGAAAAAAAAGGGCCCTCAACAACCGGAGAAGGGACAAATTTGACAATCATCAATCAATCACGCAATAAATTCATAAAGATAATATTTTATGAAGGACAAATATAAATAGTTAGGGAGACAATACACATAGACTTTGTCTATGTGTATCTCCACAAAGACAACCACTTAAATGATGACAACACATCATTCATGAAAAAAGAAGAGCAGGAGTTTAAGGTGGTATAATTTGCTAGTAAAGCCCGCTTTTGTTGAAGGAAGAGCGGGAAATTTAGAGCTTCATTGTGGCAAAAAAGTTTGGCGCTGAAAATTCATGAAAGTAATTACTCCTTAACAATCTAGTATGTTAATCTTTTGAGCAGCCATTAATGGCAATTGAAGGTGCGTGAGGATGTTCCCAAATTAGTTAGAATCGGAGGTAGGCAACATAATGTCATAATGTAGGTGAAATTGGAGATAATATAAAATAAAATTAAAATAGCAAATGATTAGCAAGAATTACTTGTTTACCTTCATTTACATGGTTGTAATGATAAATTAATCGTCATTAACTTCTTGAATTTGACATTGTTGATGAACTTAAGATTAATGTAAAATATGTTATCAAATTATGTATTTTAAAACATGCTGTAGTTATTTTAGTTTCACATGAATTTTTATAGTATCAATTTGATTCATGTGGGTGTATAATTTAGTATCAATAATGAGATTTTTTTGTTTTTTTTTTAATATTATGCCAAAACCTCCATGTATATGCATTCTAACAGGGTTTCATATTCTTCACTAAAACTAGCTTTAATTATTAATGATAGTTCAAGAATTAAGGTGTTACTCGAATTGGTGTTGGGAAGTCTCAGACAATGTATCATATATGATGAAGCGGCCGAATTAGATTTAAATGTAAAATGGAAGGTTATAAACAGTGTCACCATCTCACCAATGATTTCAAGAAAGATATTGATATGTTAAGTCATTTGATTTTGAGATTCCCTAAAGAACTAGGGTGAGCAATCTACATAAGGTGAAGGGTGATTTTGATGATAGTGGAAATAGTAGGAGAGAGACGAGGTCAAACCTACATAGAGGCCATGGAAATGGCACAGAGGCACATTCGGGCTGCCGAGATCAACAGCCTCGGTGTGCCAAGTACCTCTAAGAAAGGCGGTAACAACGGCAAGAGGAGGCCAGATGGAATGGGAAAGAAAAGAGAAGATCGAGATGATGATAAGCAGCCTAAGAAGAGGGATGATGACAATGATCCGAGGTACAATTCCAACCGCAGGGAAATCTTCTTGGACATCAAAGGAAAAGACATGCTTCTAAAGTCGGATCCTGTCCAATCAGCTGTTCATAGGCGCAACAAAAGCTTATGGTGTGAGTTCCACCGAGAGTGTGGTCATACCACAAAAAATTGTCGAGAGCTAAAGAGGGCGCTAGATCAGCTAGCGAATGAAGGGAAATTAAATAAGTGCCTAAAGAATAAGGATCAAGATAAGCCTCGCTCCTAGAGGAGTGATGAAACTGATGTTGTGATCGTTGTAATTGCGGGAGGCCCCACATCTGGTGGTTGGTTGAGCAACATTTGGCTGAGCTCAGCCACCAAGTACTCGAAGTGGCAAGAGGCGCCTCGCCTACTTGCCTAACCATGATCTTTAACAGTCGGTCGTCTCGCCAGGTAAATGTACCGCATGACGACCCCTTTGTCGTTGATCTGAAGGTTGCAAACGCCCGAGTCAAGCAAGTTTTGGTGGACTCTGGGAGCTCTCTAAACGTTATTAGCTTGGAATGTCTGAAACAACTTCGATGCTACCCGACAGACTTAAAGGCTCTTTCTCAGCCCTTGGTTGGGTTAGGTGGTCAAAGTGTTATCCCTGAAGGGATCATAAGCCTACCTGTACGTATAGGGGATTAGACGACGTGTTGCACCTTACTGGTGGACTTCGTGGTTGTAGATATCCGACTCCCTAACAACATCATCAATGGGCGCCCATTGCTCAACAAGATCAAGGCGGCCATATCCACCTACTAGTTGCTAATGCAATTTGAAACCGACCAAGGGAAAGTTGGGAGGCTATATGGCGATCAAAAGTCAGCAAGGGAATGCTGTGTTAATAGTTTGAGGGGCAACGCCTCGGAGAGCTCCTCGAGGAGCAAAAGAAAAGATAGGGACGACAACCTCAAAGTAGAAAACACCTCGCCTACTCCCATGGGTTTATGTCTGAATGACAACCCTAGGAGGTATGCCAGACCGCGTCCCACCGAGGACCACAAAGAAGTCTCCATTGACGACGATCCCACACACACCATGAGAGTTGGGGCTAATCTGGGTGAGGGATAGAAGGAGCAGATTGTCCAAGTGTTAAAAGAGTTTAGGGATGTCTTTGCTTTCTCACCAGAGGAGATGCTTGGGATCTCCCCAGACGTTATGATGCACAAGTTGAGCATCAAAGAAGGCTTTAAGCCTGTCAAACAAAAACTAAGGCATCAGGGACAGGAGAGATGCCACGTCGCAACCAATGAGGTAAAAAAGCTGCTAGACGCGGGATTCATAAGGGAGTGCCAATATATTGAGTGGCTAGCAAACGTTGTATTGGTCCGTCAGCCAAATGGCACTTGGCGCATGTGTGTGGACTTCACGGACCCGAACAAGGAGTGCCCAAAGGATGATCATCCGTTGCTAAAGATTGATAAATTGGTGGATTCAACTGCGGGACATGCCCTGTCAGTTTCATGGACGTAAATGCGGGGTATCACCAAATTCCCATGGCCAAGGAGGATCAGCCCTACACAGCGTTCATCACCAATGGAGGGGTCTATTGCTATAAGGTGATGCCTTTCGGCCTGAAGAATGCGGGGACAACATATCAGCGCCTCGTCGACAAAATATTTCAGAAGTAGATTGGGCGTAACATTGAAATATACGTGGATGACATGATTGTCAAAAGCAGACTGGAGCATGACCACGTTTCGGACTTGAGGGAGACACCGGGCTCACTGAGGAAGTACGGGATGCGCCTCAATCCAAAAAAATGTGTATTTGGGGTCAAGGGAGGAAAGTGCCTAGGCTTCCTCATAGATAAAAGAGGAATTGAAGCCCACCCAGATAAGATCCAAGCAGTGCTAGATATGCAATCACCTCGAAGTGTCAAGGAGGTGCAGCGTCTCATAGGATGCATGGCCGCTCTGGGGCGTTTCCCCTCCCGATAAGCGGACAAAAGCCTCACCTTCTTCCGCACACTAAAACTCCCATCTTTCCAATGGGATGCTGAAGCTGAGACTGCCTTCTAACAATTGAAATAACATCTCCTAACATTTTCGAAGCTCGTCTCGCCCTTTCCTAAAGAAGCGTTGTATTTGTACTTAGCAGTTTTTGAGCATGCGTTAAGCGCAGTCCTCGTCGTGGAGAGGGAGCGGGTACAATATCCGGTTTACTTCATCAGTCATGCGCTAAGGAGGGAAGAAACCCGGTATTCGATGATCGAGAAGTTAGTATATGCATTGGTTATTGCAAGTAGGAAGCTAAAACCCTATTTTCATGCGCACCCGGTGACTGTGTTGACTAAGCAACCGATAAGGAAGATAATTGAAGGAAGAAACCACTCTAATCGCATGACTGAATGGGCAAACCAACTCTCGAATTATGGGCTAGAATATGAGCCTCGGAGGGTAATAAAGGCACAAGCATTGGCGGACTTACAAGCTAAATGGTTTCTTTGGCATGAGGGCAAGGTGTACAAGAAGTCTTACACGCACCCGCTGCTTTATTGCGTCTCGCCCGATGAAGGTGACTACATTCTGCGAGAGATACATCAAGGCGCCTGTGGGAGTCACCAAGGATCAAGGACTTTGGCAGGCAAATCCTTCGGTCAGGTTACTACTGGCCCACTATTAAGCAAGACGCCCACAACCTGGTCACTAAGTATCCCCAATTCCAGAGGAATGCGGACATCCCGAGGCTACTTGCCACCAATCTAGCGGCTATCCTTCCCACCTTACCCTTTGACAAGTGGGGAAGGGACCTACTCGGCCCTTTCCCTCCAGCGGTGGGACAGAAGAAATTCCTCATTATAGTAGTAGACTACTTCACTAGGTGGGTTAAGGCCGAGGCATTGTCTACCATCACCGAGCACCAAGTCCAGCAGTTCATATGGAATAACATCATCACGAGGTTTGGCGTGCCAAGGGTCCTAATATCTGACAACGGAAGGCAGTTTGATAGTGCCTCGACCAAAGAATACTGCAATCGGTTTAGGATTCAAAATCAGTTCACTTCCATCAATCACCCACAATGCAACGGGCAAGCCAAAGCCGCAAACAAAGTTGCTCTAAGAGGCATCAAGACAAAGCTAGAAGGCGCCAAGGGCACCTGGCTTGATGAATTGCCGAGTTTCCTATGGTCCACTCGGACAACTGTTAAAGAATCTACTGGACGCACACCCTTCTCATTAGTCTACGGCGGTGAGGCTGTACTACCAGTGGAAGTGGGCATCCCATATCCAAGGATCACTTACTACGATTCCAATGCTAACGAAGAGCTGAAGAGCCTCGACCTGGATCTCCTCCCTGAGATGAGAGGCAACGCCCTACTGAAATCCATCTCCTACAAACAAAAGATCACTCGATATTTGAACAGTCGTGTCACGCCATGCCCACTAATGAAGGGGGATTGGGTATTGAGAAAATTGGAGTCCACAGGGCACGACTTGCTCATGCATGGGCAAGCTCACACTCAATTGGGAAGGTCCTTATAAGATTACTTAAGAAGTAAGACCAGGCACGTATCGCCTTGAGGATTCCGATGGAAATGCACTAGCATGCCCTTGGAATGCAGATAACCTACGAAAATACTATATATGATGTCGAGGGACGTCTCACCTAGTCCAAGTTAGTTTATGTTTGCTTTGATTTATGATGTACTTAATTATAAAACGCTCGAGCATTGTAAATGTACAACAATTGTCAGTTGTCACATATTGGGGCGTATCAATGTAAACAAAATACGAATAATAAATAAAATGGACAACTTCTGGACAACCATCTTTTTATACATATGATGCGATTACAAAGTTTTGGGCACATGATGCCCTACATTGATTTAACAAAAAGAAAAGAAACAACAAAAGCGATTTAGCTAGAAAAGAAAGCAATAATTGCAAGTCCTGGCTATTAGAGCATTACTGTTTCCTAGGGCCTGGCGCAGTGGTCTTTTGCCTCTTAGTTGCTGGCGCCTTAGAGGTACGAGTGGAGGGGATGTTTGGTTTGGAGGTAGAGGGCGTAGAGCCAGACCTGCCAGCAGTGGCGCCTTGGGCATCACTTGTCTTTGCTGGTCTGTCCGAGCAACTCTTGGACCTTCTCTCTTTCCTAGCCCTCTTCTCCAACTTCTCCAGACACTGCTGTTCAGCAGCCTCTGCATCAGCCTCAATTTTCTCCTTCCTCCTCGCCTCTTCAGCAGCGGCGACATCCTGAGCTCGCTTCCTTTGGAAGTTAGCCATCCTAACCTCTTTCTCTCTAGTGATACAGTCATCTACCGCTTTCTTCACAGCCTCTGCTTGGTCCGAGACGATGGAATTTAGAGCTTCCTTGTACTTCACGTGAAGGCTCGCCTGCCCCTGCTCGAGGGCCTTGTTGGCCACTCCCCCAGTGAAGACAACACCCTCAGGTGTCTTCTTCGAGTCTTCTACCAACTGGGCAGTGTCCATTTTCAGTTTGGCCTGAGCATCGTCCTTGGCCTTGTCCACTTCACTAAGCTCATTTTGAAGCTTAGTGACTTTGGCGCAATATCCCTCCGCCAACTCTTTGGCGTCCTTGAAGTCTTTTTGAAATTTCTTTTTGGACGCCTCAGAGAGGCGTAGCTTCTCAGTAGTGGCCTCGTGGCCGCTACTTTCTTCTTCAAGCTCCTGCTTCAGGAGCGTGTAGGCCTCTTCTTGCTCCCGCAATTTGTCCTCAACAGCGGAAAAATCCTCAAGAGATCGGTCTCTCTGGGCCCACACCTCACATAATTCACAATTTAGAACCTCAAAGCGAGCCGAGAACTATAAAAAAAAGGAAGCAAAATAGTTAGTATCACCCAAGAGCCAAGGATATAAAGAAATACAAGCATTACAGGATAAGATAAACACAAAAATGTGAAGGGCTGGAGGTAGGAGACTTGGAAAAAGAGCATAAAAATACTAAGTACAAAATACAAAGGGAAGCAATGTCTCGCCTCCAGGATAAGATAAACACAAAAATGTAAAAGGAAAAAGGTTACTTGTAGCCAGGACTCGCGAGCCGAGTCCAAGAGATCAGCCTTGTCTTGTCTGAATTGAAGGCCTTCTCCTCAGAGGGCTTCAAGACCTCCCTGAACGCCCTATTGAGCCTCCTGTTCTTCAGGTTGGGAGGAAGCTCATGGAAGAATTCAAAGGGGTCACCTGCTGTCTCTGCTTTCTCCACCTGTTGTGGGGCTTCAATTGGAGAGTGGTTGTTGTTGTCGCCGCCGCCAGCCTTGGCGTCCTCACCCCCTTCATCATCATCGTTGTCCTCATATTTACCCTCATCCTCACCACCCCCCTCATCGCCGTTGGGGGCGTCTTCTTGCTCCCCCCCTTGGCTCACAAAAGGAGTGATGATAGGATCCCCATTCCCGTAGGGATCATTTAGAGGCTCGGGCACATTTTTCTCCTCCGTTCCCTCATTGTCATCAATGCCCTCACTCACATGAGCTCGTGGGGCGTTGCGAGGGTTCTAAAAAGGACAGAATAAAGGTATCAACAAGCAAGCTAAAGGGCGTCATTAATAATTTAGAAACAAAGACAAGTAATACTTACAACAGGAGATGGGAGGATTTGCATTTCCTCGGCTGCCAGATCGGCCATTATCATCGAGTACTCGAGCTCAGCGGCATTAACATGCTCTGCCATCTCTACCAAAAATTTAGCCCTACATCGTTCTGCAATAAGACGCCAAAAGTAAGAGCATGATCAGTTAAGCAAGTATATATGTATATTAAGTGTGAAGACTAAGACTCGTACCAGTAGAGTAAGCTCGGCTAGCCCCACGTAAGACAAGAAATACTCATTGGCCATGTCTTCGCGGGTGGGGATCCAATGCCCAGGCACCTCGGACTTGGATTCTTCATCGTGATAGACTGTCACCTTCTGAAAATAGGTGGCAGCTGCAGACTCCTCAACGCTCATCCTTGGAACGTCAAGGTTTAAGGACATGTTCACGCCTCTCCTAGAAGGTCTTCTCTTCACCCCCCAAGATTCGCTGCAGCCCATCATAACAAACTCCCCTTGGAACGCCTTTTGGTTTGACCGAAGATTGTCTATTACTTTGAAGCCTTGCGGACATGAAGTTATACCAACCTGGCCTGTGGCTGCGTTTGCTCACTGCGGCAAGGCGAAACAATGTCCTAAAAAGTGTTAGGGATGGCTCTATCCCAAATAACTTACACATGCCAATAAACACCAAAATGGTAATTACAGAATTGGGCATCAGTTGGCAAAGTATGAGCCTGTACTTGTTAAGAACTTTTTGGAGAAATGGGTGAAGGGGAAATCTCAAGCCACCCTTCAAACAATCCATACATACATCAAGATGACCGTCTGAAGGATTTGTGACGGTGCGCCACATCCCCGGAGTAAAGGTAGAAAATTTTTGTTTCAAATGGTATTTGGCTATGTATAATTAGTGTGATTTGCCTACAATCCTGTGGAAGCGGGCATGAATATAATAATGGTCGATGCCCCTCGGTCTATCTAGGGGCGCCCTATTGGATGGGCCAGGTTCGTCAACAATCGTCGTCATCTCTCTGTGCACACGACAACGGTTTAGGAAAACATCATTTGAATCAAAAGCTACTTCTTCGTCCTCAGGATGCGACAAGGGCATGTCCACACCGAAAGAGCTTTCCAATGGAACAACAGTAGCGACGCCCTCACTGTTGGGCATCTCGTTGCATACTGTCACTAATGTAAAACCCCCAACACTGAAGTCCCTAGAAAATGGAGGGAAGGGGAAAGAATTCGAATCATCGGAATCGGGGTCATTCAATGTGGGCGCCTAACCAAGCCATACCCCTTTTCCTTTATTCAAATAAATAAATAAGTGCTAAGGATCAGAGCGTACCTTGAAATGAAAGAAGTGGAACCGCTAAAGAGTAAGGAAGTGCCTCGCCTTCATAGAAGTGACTGCAAATTAAAAAAGGGATGCAGTGCCTCGCCTTGGGAAGGAGAATGGAAGATTGCTTGAAAATCCCTAAGTGTTGAACAAATGACGCCTAAAAGAGAGGCGATTTTTTCTTGAAGAGGCGATTTTTGGCGATTTTAGAGAGAGAAGAGAGAGGGAAAGTGAAATTTTTCTGAAGTGAGAGAAGTTGCTCTCCTCAATATAATATAAAGAAGACTGCAGCTAAATGGGCTTTTTTCCATTTAAGCCTAACAAGGGTAAGTTGGACTCTGAAAACGCACGTGAAAGAATGAGGAGGCACAAGAAGGCATGTGACTGGGATGCGAAGTCAACCCTCCAGAGCTACTTCTTTAAACACCCAAATGGGGAAAACGTCAGATGCCTGAAATTACCAAGTATATTGTTATGTCACGTCTCACCTCACACGAGAGGGGGCTTATTAACCCCCACTTCTGGGCAGGTGTGCACATTGGTTGAGAGGTTGTGCCATCTCAAGAAGTATTGTATTGTCACGCCTCGCCTCACATGAGAGGGGGCTCATTAGCCCCCACTGCACCTTTGGGCGAATGTGTGCATTGTGTTGAGAGGCCATGCCATCTCAAGTATATTGTTATGTCACGTCTCGCCTTACACGAGAGGGGGCTCATTAGCCCCCACCCCTGAGCAGGTGTGCACATTAGTTGAGAGGCTGTGCCATCTCAAGAAGTATTGTTTTGTCACGTCTCGCCTCACACGAGAGGAGGATCATTAGCCCCCACCTCTGGGCAGGTGTGCACATTGGTTAAGAGGCTGTGCCATCTCAAGAAATATTGTATTGTCATGCCTCGCCTCACACGAGAGGGGGCTCATGAGCCCCCACCTCTAGGCAGATGTGTGCATTGTGTTGAGAGGCTGTGCCATCTCAAGTGTGTTGTTATGTCACGTCTCGCCTCACACGAGAGGGGGATCATTAGCCCCCACCTCAGGGAAGATGTGTGCATTGTGTTGAGAGGCCGTGCCATCTCAAGTGAGTTTTTATGCACGTCTCGCCTCACACGAGAGGGGGCTCATTAGCCCCCACCTCTGGACAGATGTGTGCATTGTGTTGAGAGGCCATGCCATCTTACGTGTTTTGTTGTGTCACGTCTCGCCTCACACAAGAAGGTGCTTGCATCGCTGCTGCTATCATTACATTGCAACGTCTCGCCCTTGAAGACTTGCTTGCATAATGCTACCATTGTGTTGCATTGCGACGTCTCGCCTTTTGGGGCTTGCTCTGCTGTTACTACCTTTACGTTGCAACGCCTCGCCCATTGGGGGCTTACACCGCTGGTGCTATCATTGCATTGCGACGTCTCGCCCATTGGGGGCTCACACTACTGCTGCTATCACATTGCCATGCCTTGCCCTTAGAGATTGACACCTCTGTTGCAGACATTACGTTGCGGCGTCTCGCTCGTAAGGCTACCATGGCCATCCTAGCAGCGCCACGCCCTATGACTATGAGTTAGCATACACCTAGCCTCAAAAGGGAGTTGTAACCTCTTTCCGCTCGTCATCACATCCGTATGGGACACGTCTCCAACGACGAGCGTGGGGCTAATGTTCCGGCCCAATTATAGGATGGAAATGACAAAATTGCCCCTTAAAGCCCAAAAGGTGTGAAATGTCAAAAATACCCTTGGGCCAAGAAGGCTTAACGCATGGAACGGGCCCGTACCGGGCCCACAACACGGAAGATTCATTTATTACGATCTTGCCACCGAGAGAATCTGCCTTTATTATGATTCTTCCATCACGAAAGTCTATAAATACCCTCGGTTTTCGTACAATGGGGGGACCAGATTCACATTTTCCAACATCATTTATTGCATCGATTTGCTCTCCTCTTCTCCCTCTCTACTTTCTATCTCTAGTTTTCTCTTTCTAGATCAGAGTTGACTTGAGCGTCAGAGGGACGTTATCGGGTAAAAATCCCCGGGGTAGTCACCGTTTGTTTGTGGTGCAAGTCAGGACGAGATCAGGAGCTTAAAGGCGTGCCAACCACTACTCATTCGAACTAAGGATGAGATTTGTCTCGACCCGGATCAATACTTGCGGTTCCTCATCAGGAACACTTACTTTTTATATATTATACTTGTATTTGCTATTTGTTAAAATTTTCTTAAGCAGTATTAATCATACTATGTGCTAGTTTGCTACAATGATACTCCGTGATAGCATGCACTGATGAGATAGGTAGCATAGAAAAACCCAGAGTTGTGAATAGGGATGTCAGTGGGGCGGGTCAAATAGGAGACCCGCCCCATTCCCGCCCCGTTGGGGCGGGGATAGGTCTTGGTTTGGCGGGTGATGGGGCGGGGATGGGGATAAAAACCATACCCGCCATGGGTGATGGAGCGGGGGTGGATTTTAGGTTGTACCCGCCCCGCCCCACCCGTACCCGCCCCATCCCCACCCGCCCCATTTCGTACCCGCCCCATCCCCACCCGCCCCACTTCGTACTCGCCCCATCCCCACATCCATATATTTTTAAAAATAAAATTATATACTTTTATACTATTTTATTAAAAAATTATGTAAAATAAAATAGTAAATATAATACTTTGTAGACTTATATTATAAACAAAAAAAAATACGTAATATTAACAATAATTTTTTTCTTTTTGCAATCTTAATTAATTATGAATGATTATGTATTTTGGAGGCGGGGATTAGACGGGGATTAGGTGGGGATGGATATCCAAGTGGGGGTTGGGGCGGGGATGGTTTTGGAATTGTACCCGTCGGGGCGGGGATGGGGATGACTTTTAGACCCGCCGCGGAGATGGGAATGGGGATGGGTATGAAAATTTTAGATGGGGATGGGGATGGGAAGACCAACATCCGCTCCGCCCCGCCCCACTGACATCCCTAGTTGTGAAAACGGGGAAGTTTCAAGTAAAAAAACAAGGAAATGTGAAATCATTACAAAACAAGCAAATACCTTTGAAATGTCATATAAATAAAAATTTAAGTTAAATTGAATTAAAATTAAAGAGAAAAATGGGAAAAAAAAAAATAGTTGTTGAGTTGTAGGAAAACGAAACGTATGGAAATGAAGTATTTTAAGGGTTTTCAAGTTTTCGAGTTAACGTAACTTCATAACTGATGACATATGACTACTGAGCTCACAATTTTTTTTACCTTAAGTTAGCTGCTCCGTTATTCAATACTTTTTGTAGAATAATCATGGTTGTAACTTTTCTTGAATTTTGTCTCTGTTTTTATGCAAGAGTATTTAGTCTTCTTAGTTGTGCAACTAATCTTATCTTTTACAAGATTGACATTTTCGTTTTACGGCTATAATATGCGTTTTACTTGTTCCAATTCTTTTTTCTCCTTCTGTCCCTATTTCTTTGCACCATGACCCATTTTTATGTGAAAATTTTATTAGTCAAATGGTGCAAGGATAAGGGGACGAACTTGTTCTTTTAGGCTGAACTGAACTGAACTGAAGTAGGCTGAAGTGAGTTGAACTGAACTGAAGTGGGCTGAAGTCAACTAAACTGAACTGAAGTGAGCTGAAATAAAAATGAGCTGAACTAGCTGAACTGAACTTAAGCCAGCTCAAGTAGGTTGAACTGAACTAAAGTTGGCTTAAGTCAGCTGTAGTAGGCTGAACTGAACTGAAGTACCATAAAATTAATCCCAAAAGACAGGTTCAAGCTAACTATCTACTATTACCTAAAGTTGTCAAAAAATACATCTT